AGATGTCATGTTGCCTAGCAGAGACATCCACTATATCAGCGACTTGCTGGGTTGACTTGAGATTGATTGGATCATTTTTATAGTCTCGTCGAATCGATCCTCTTGTGGACATAGATATCCCTGGTCTAGCTGGAATCTGGCTCCAATATATATAATGTCTTGTACCGGAGTGAACTCTGACTTGGCTGGGTTGACTAGGAAACCTAGGTAAGTAATAAGCTGGACCAAGAATATCATGTTCTGATGTAGCTGATCTTTCCCTTGTTCTGCCGCTAAGAAGTCGTCCAGATAACCATAAACAGTTGGAGATGGGCAAACTTGATGACTGGCGCTGTAATCCTGGTGAATAGCCAAGGTGCTATTGCTATCCCGAATGGTAGGACATGGAATTCGTAGCGTCGGTCATTGATTGCGAAGCGTAGATATTTTCGAGATGATGGGTGTATTGGGACGTGAACATATGCACCTGTAAGTCTCCCTTCTTTAATGTCGACCGCAACTTCCGTATGGACTCCATATGGAATTTTGGAGGCAGCACAGATATCTCTTGTTGAGGGTCTTTAGATCTATTATCATCCTCATCTCGGTTGTGTTCTTCTTCGGGAATAAAAAGACTGCGGAGTAAAAACCTTTGGTGTTGTTGGACTCCTGTAGTTCCCGAATGGCTCGCTTCTTTAGTTGCTTTCTGATGGCCAATTCTGTAGCTGTTAACTTGGCACCAGTCAGGTGGAATCTTTGGCCAACTGTGTGTATGTTCAAATCGCAATCCATAGACGTAATCAGGTCGAAAGGGTCTATAACATCGGAGGGGGTTGTAAGGGAGTCAGAATTTTCTTTCCCCTCTGCTGCTTGATCTTCAACGGTGATTATATTCCCATTTCTTGTAGTCTGGCTGGAGAAAAGAGTCCTATGAAGATTGTGGCTTGTCATACCTCCGCCTTGGTTGGAACGAATCCTTCCAGGAGGTGACAAACTTCTTAGGCGCAGATGAGTTATGGTCCCAGGGTCACTTGTGAGAATGTGATGACTCATGAGCCCTCCTTGATAGATGATGCTGAAAACGTAATGTTCATGTCAGGATTGCGCACTAATTTGTGAAATCCTCATCCAAGTGTTTGAACTCAAATCTTGTCTAACTTTCGTTTCATAGGTGGAAGAGGTAGATCCGTCACTGGGTCTACGACCTTGTTTGCATAGCTGGGCCAAGGTAACGTATGATGAATATGCTGAGATGGACTTGGCGCATGACATCCCCTGTATTCCGACATCTGGGGTGGTGAATCCTCTGTCACATGTGGCCGAAGTGAAAGCATAAGGTGGTAAAGCTCTTCAATAAGTTCGACAAAAGTGTAACCTTCGCTGTAATCACGTTGGAGTGAAATGTCTATCTCCTCCAAACCCTCGGATTCCAGTTCTAAAAAGCCATGGCTAGTCGGCTGGATGGCTGGCTAATCCTGTGGAGTCCGTGCAGCTGGCTTGCGTCCTGTTGGACAGTCAAACGGTAAGCAGTGGTTGGTAGGCTGGGGTTTTTTCACAGCTGGCTGGCCGGATGGCCTGTCCCTGGATACCGTATGGCTACCGTACAGTATTATTCTCTGGTCTAGTGCTGGCTGGCCAGCTAGCTGGCTTGCAGATATGTAATAGAGGTAGAAGTTTTGTAAGAATTTTATCTACCTTGAGCATATTTCGGCTTATTGTTTGCGTCAGCTCCCCTGTGCTCAACTATGGTGTTTTGATGGTCTCATTTGCATACTTATGTCATTGGGGTATGACATACATTTTTATGTCATAAGCTTATGGCAAGGATAAATGCTTTAATTAAATGATGAATTTCCATTATGATTGGATGACAGCAAAAAACATGCCTCTGAGCCTTCCTCCTTTCATACACTCTGTCGACAATGTTGCATTGCAGCCCGGGTCTTCCTTGGGTGCATTCCACCAGCACCCAGTAGGTTGTATTTTACTGGGATTGTAACTTAGAATGACATATGTTTTTGAAAGAGACAGGACCTGGGATGTTCATTGAATTTCCAAGCCCTTCTGATCCGAGGTCAGACACCTTGTCCACATGACGAAAGAGGTTAACCCCGTGAACAAGCTGACAAGGTAAGGATGTCATCTGTGGGATGACTCCATGCTCTGCTACATACTCCACCGTCAACAGAAGGCATGTTCCAGGCCGCAGAGTTGTGCTGAGACTTATTTTGCTTAAATTCAAAATGAATGTGCTCAGCCCCACGTCGAGCGCCAACATAGCGGCCATACAATTCTAATGATGGGATTCAAACCACAGACCTTCTGATCCGAGGTCGGACGCCTTGTCCACATGGCCAAAGAGGTTAACCCCACTAGCAAGTTGACAAGGTAAGCATGTCATCTGTGGGATGACTCCAGGCCCTGCTACACAAGGTTGTGACTACAGTTGATTGTTTTATGGTGCAAAGGGCACTCTTGTCAGTGTTGGCACTAATTACTACCATAAATGTTAGAAAGCAATAGCTGTGGGTTAATATGAGTTTTTTTAACATAAGTGTCAAATGTCTGTCATCAGACAGGTACTTTCCAATGATATCAATTATTAATCATCTAGATTTCAAAACATTACTTTCCTTTCTTCACTTAGAATACCATCACTTTCACCCATGACAAATCACTGCATATCCCTTCTGGAGGATTTGGTGAATGAAGATATTGTCGGGACGACAACTCAAGTTAAACATTATACAGTTTGGTTACACTGTGTGAATAAATAAGAGACACTTTAAAAAATGTAGGGGGTCCTGAGATCCCGGAGTGTTCAAACTATAGGGTCCTGAGATCCTTGGGCTATGCTCCTTTAGTATTTAAATCTTGAGAAATCTTAAGATTTGGACATTAGGGCAATGACAAGGACCCCTTGACTTTCATGCCTAATTTCAATCATTGAATATCAAACAATATGTGGCTGGTTATTGAACTTGATTTGTGTTTCATGAGATACTGTCCATCGCAATATTTGGTCAAAATCTGTTGATGTACGTTGAACAAGATCAGGAAGACCTTCAACTACCACCATTAAGCAAGATGTTGACAAAATACATGATTTGGTTATGCATGATCGACGACTCGCCACACGTCACATTGCCGATACAATCGGCATCTCATGAGAGTCGAGAACATTCCGAGAAATCAACTGGGCATGAGTGTTAATATGCTGGGTTCCCAGGCTTCTGACTCCTGATCAGAAATGATCCGGGTTCATCACCTCTCATGAGAATTTACACCCTTTTGCAGCAGTCCCAGCAGATATTGTTCTAACCATTGATCAGTCATGGATTCACCACTGTCAGCCAGAGACTAAACTAAACAACAGTGAAAGCAGTGGTAACATCCAACATCTCTTATTCTGAAGGAGGAATAACCTGTTCCATCAGCTGGCAAGGTGATGGTTTTGGTTTTCTGAAATTCCAAAGGAATCCTAGTCGTAGATTACCTCCTTCAAGGTCACATCATTAATGGCTAGTATTATGCTAATCTGCTTTGGCAGCTGCACAAGAATATCTAGGCTAAAAACCTCAGGGAAAACTCACTAAAGAAGTGTTGTTCCACCACGACAAAGTACCTGTGCACAAGTCTGTTGTCACCATGGCTGCAATGCATGGTTGTGGATGTGAAAACATTGAACATCCTTCGTATTCACTAGATTTGGTGCTGTCAGATTTCCACCTCTTCCCAAACTTGAAGGACGAACTGTCTGCCAGCCATTATCCAAATGATGATAATATGCATCCATGTAGTCAATCATTTTTAGGCTCAAAACTCTTCAGCCACCCCTAATACATTCGGGGTCAATCATAATTTTTATGTAGTGAAATCTTTAGCAACCAAGTAGGAAAGGTGTGCTTGCTTGAAATGTTATTCTTCTGTAATGTGGTCTGCTTGAGAGGACAGCATCAGTCAGGAACTTATCTGGGTTGATTTTATTTGTGGAGATTCTCAGGAAAGTGGGAGTCGAAAACAAGAATGCATTCATCTGGCTCTCAGACAAGTTTTAGTTTTTACAAATTCTAACTAATGGTTAGAGCATGAGGACCTACTGTTTAATCATTGAAATGGTGAGCAAAAGTCAATGGCACGGAGCGCCAATGACTCCAACTAACTATTTCAACAATTAAACATCATGTGCTCTAACCTGTATAACCTGTCCATTCAAAGAACCCAAGCACCTAAATTGTGTTTCGATATCGATATCCATATCTTAAAAAATATTAAAAAACTCTATGATTAACTGTGCCCTTGCATGACGCACATGAAATATGTTCCCTGTGCCTTTCGCACATGCACCTTACACTTTGACGACTCGGGTAATGAAATGCATGTCCCCTGGGAAATTACAAACATACACAAACATATAGGGTATAGTTCGTGGAGCTTGAGAATTTGCCTGTGCTCTTACATGGATGAAGGACGAGTGTCAGTACTTTATCAGAATACAAATATACTGCAACCAAGCCCTTTGTTCTTGTGACAATTTGTTTTCATCTCGATGAAGTAGTGGCATTCATCCTATATCTATTACTTACTCCTATACACCAGCTATGATCAATCTTCTCACAACAATACTTCAGCTCGAAAAACTAGTTTCACAACAGTGATGACATCTATTTAAATATCATGTTTGTATTGATAATGTTTTGCTATGTATGAAATGATGGAGAGCAAACATTGGGATAATCAAGTACTATCCTATCTGACACCAGGCTGTGATTGTCCACTGTCATGTTGTTCTAACCTTGTCAGAAAATGGCTAAAAAGTGACCAAGTAATTGGATTGGTCTCGCATGAAGGAAAACAACTGCTTCCCATTGTTCGGCTGATTACCCTTCTTACTTTCTGTTTAAACTTCTGGAACCAGACAAATCAGCAACACACTGCATGTTTGTTCTACGTACCATTAGAAGTTCAATAAAAAATGTATCCTATTACTGTTTCATTAGTTGATGTTACTCTATACTTACCCTTGTAGTGCTGTGAAGGCCACAAAGCCTGCTTTTGATGCAACGAGTCTGCGCAGTGCATGAAACTGAGCCTCCAAAGTGAGGGATGAGATATTAGACTGTTCTCCTTCCCTTTCCAGCAGCTTGGAAAGTGTCACATTGATTAGCTTCTCCTTGTTTTGAGCAAACAGGCCCTGTCAAACAAACATGTAATGTTGTCAGGGGTTATCTGGCACACTCTGATGGTCACAGATTCATCACAGCTTTTAAAGGTAAGTCATAAAGGTAAGCAATAAAGGTAAGCCATAAAGGTAAGCCATAAAGGTAAGCCATAAAAGTTTATGCTTAAGTCACCATCCAATTTAGGAATGTAAGTAAGTGAAAAGTTTTCTAATCTTACAATATCTTCAACTTAGATACCATGCATAGAAACTATGATGCAGACATGGGACAGTACAGAAAAGCCAAAACTAGTAAAATCCTAGATATTTTTTATATTTGTATACTTATCCTGCATTACTCCTTAATGCATATCACTGCTTGTTCTTGACAGAGAAAAGAGCTGTGAGAAGGTCTTTACTTGAAGAAGTTGTTCCAACTAGCTGAGAGGCCAACCCTATCACGCAGCTCCCACGTGACCAAAGGCAGTGACGTCACGGATCCTCACATTACTCTGGAGTCCGGACATCGGAAGGCATAGTGGGGAGGTAGATCTGCGGTGGGTGGGTCCCTTTAGACGCAGTAATGCAGGATAAGTATACAAACATAAAAAAGATTTTACTAGATCTTTTACTTATCCTGCATTACTCCTTAATGCATCTTTATCGGATGGAACCGGAGGCGGGCATACCTTCAGATGTGGACTTTCATCTTTTATTTCCAGATTATGTTCCCTAGCCAATCCTCGGCTGTGTGGTCGGCATCAGGTGACACCCTCCATGTATGGGAAACTCTGTTTCCCTCAGCCCGTCTTGGGCTGTATGGTCGGCCTGGATGAACATTACATGGAAGGGTATGCGTCAGGTTAGGTATGCATTGTGTCCTGGTACTGCGCAGCCTGACAATAACTCTGGGTTAGGTCGAGACTGGAGTACCGGGCCGTATGCAAGTGGGGCATGAACCTTCTAGCCCAGGGCTTACGCCAGGGGAGGTCGAAAGGCCGGCTCTGGACTTGGAGGTGAGGTCAGTGACGTGTAGTAGAGGAGCCTGTTGGGCACTACTAACGGACCAAGTTGTGCGTTCCTAGCACATCCTCCAATACAACATCTCGCATATGGTGACTGGCGACGAATGTTTTTGATCGCCAGGACACCTCTCCATGATGGCAAGAAGAGCTCAGTTGCTGTGTAGCGCCATGGTGGAGGCGATCGCCCGGGTCTCATGTGGGTTGGTTGAGCCTGGGGGGCCAATCCTGCGGCCTCATAGGCCTGGAGAATGAAGGCTCATAGCCAGAGGGCGATCGTGTTGCGCCTACCTTCCGCTTGCGAGGTCGCAGCTCCATACCGGAGTGAAGAGGCGTCGTCGTTGTCTATGGCGTTCCTTGGATCGTTGGATATAGCTACGGAGCGTTCTAACCGGATATAGACGTAGCTCTAGTTCATCTTCCGCGCCCACAATCGAAGATAGGGGGGGGATGAGGAACGATCTATCTGGTTGTCATAGGAATTGATTCTTGGCGAAGCAGTCCCAGCACAGTCCAAGATGCATGGCTCCATATGCTCCATGTGCTCCATGCTCAAAGCGGACGCGCGTGACATCCAAAGCCTGTAGCTCACTGACACGGGCTGCTGTGGCGTGCGCCAGTAGGAAGACCATTTTCTCATCAGATTGTAGGATGACGTCGCTTCGAGTGGCTCGAAGGGCGCATCTCTCAGCAAGGTGTGAATGACATTCAAGCCCCAAGCTGGTGTACGAGATTTCGCCTTTTGGTCTTCCAGCCTGAATGAGCGGAGCAGAGCCTGTAGTTCTGGGATTTACATCATGCGCCGATCTTCCGGAACTGCCAGGACAGAGTTGAGCGCCACAAGGTAGGGGATGATGGTACTGCCATTGAGCTTACACTTGTGACGCAGATGGAGCATGAACTCTGCCAGGAATTGAGGCAATACAGATATGGGGTCTAGGTGCTTGCCCCTGCAAAAGCTCTCAAAGGATTGCCACTTGTCATCATAGAAGCTCCTGGTGGTTGGGCGATGTGCCATCGTGATAGCCCTGGCCGCTCTGGCCCAGTAGCCTTTGGCGTTCAGTGCTCTCTGTTAATGGACCAGACGTGAAAACATAACCTGTCTGGTCCTGGGTGTGGCTGTCTGCTGTGAGGCTGGATGAGCAGATTTGGCCAATCTGGGTGTGGCAGTGGGTTGACGTCGGACAGCTCTCTGAGGTTGAGGAACCAAGCCCTCGCTGGCCACCAGGGCGCGACCAAAGTCAGATCGAGGTTCCGGACGACTGGACGACTTTTTGAAGGAGTACAGGTGGCGGAAAAGTGTACGCTTTTAGTCCTTCCCAGGGGACACTGAAAGCATCAACTGCCCAAGACAGTGGATCCGGCACCGGAGATATGTAGGTCGGGGATCTGGTAGCTCTGGCTGGTGGCAAATAGGTCTATGTTTGGGAGACATGGTCTCAACAAACAAGAGCGAAGGCATCTTGGTGAAGTTTCCACTCTGTGGGAGTAGCCACAGTGCTGAAGAAAATCCAAATGGGGGAACAGTCCATTGGTAATGGACACAGTTATCGGGATGTATAGGGACATGTCGATAGGCGTCCTTGATATCTAGGCTGATGAATACATCCTGTGCCTGGATCCAGGATCACAGCAGCCTGACGTGGTCATCCTGAATAAGGTTGACGCGCCAGGTAGCGTTTGTTGAGTAGGGGGGTAGGTGGCTATGGGCAACGACTTGAGCGGCGGGTCGTCTATAAGTGCCAGCTTGTTCCCATGTCGGATGATGTTGGTGACATATGGGTCCCCCAGGATCACACAATTCTGCCAGCAACGACCCAGTCTGCCATGTACTGGAGTGTCGACAACTTGGATGGCTGTGGGTGGAGTCATGCTTGTCTGGCTATTCACTGGAAGTCCCTGCAGTCGGCGTTACCTCCCTTGGAGTTGCTGATGCCATGCCTTTTCCTCTACCCCGAGAGGTTGAGGTGGTGCCGCGCCACTGGGGCTGGAGGGTGTTGCGTCGCGGCTGGTATGAGCCAGACCGGGACGCCTCAGCGAAGGCTGGCTGTGACACCCTAGCCAGAGTCTTAAGAGCTGTCTCGTCTGAGTCGGGATTGAGTCATTGATGTACAGCGACAGGTGTCTGGTCAAGTGGTTGCAGTGTTATGCATAAGCAATCACGCAAGCCAGTCTGTACAAATACACTGCACCGATCCCATAAGGTCGGTTGACCTGGATACGGTTGACGATGTTTACAGTCTTAGTTCTTGACACGTGACATGTATGTCGTCCTGCGCAGTAAACTGTAACCCTGTATGCTGAGTGGACTAGTTCAAGCTCCACACACCGCCAATCCCCTGTGAACCCTGTGGTTGACAGACCAGTGATGTGTCGGAGTTCTGAGGAGGAACTGTGATGCTGCCGGTGTAGGGGCAAGTTGATCCTCATGATAAGAATGACAACTGGTGAGGTGTTGTGAACGATGACCCAGTTGGGTACCCGGAAGCATATGACGATTCTGTTGAATACCGAATCGGTCATAGGGTTGTGATCGTCAACTGTGGTGCAGATAATACCTACCAGATGCCTTAGGTAGAGAGATCTTTGAGAGTCCGTTTGCTTTCTCCGAGGAAACGTTCAACCAACGTTGATAGACGAGGAGAATTGGCAGGAGATTTCCACAGAACCGTCACCACGAGGTAAGGCGCTTCCAGGACCTTGGGAAGTGTTGGAGTGCAGTTGTATGAATGCCAATCAAGTGTCCGTGTTGGAGCGCCGTTGTATGGACGCCAATCAAGTGTCCAGCGACCACTCTGGTCTCCGTAGGTAGTTGGCCCTGGGGAGCTGACGATCTCATAGGCCTGTAGAATGAGAGCAGATAGCCACAAGGACATTGTGGAATGGCTAATCGTCTGTCTGCGCTGTTGTCCCGGGTGTGCATCTGTAGAGGCGCACTTGGGAGAGGCGCAAGGATAGGCGCAACCAGAGACGCTAGGATAGACGCCTTTACGGACGCTGTAGACGGTGCTTTTGTAAAGGCGTCTGTATAGGCGTCCGACGAGGCACTGGCGTCTGTATAGGCCTCCAACAAGGCGCTGGCGTATGTATAGGCGTCCGACGAGGCTCTGGCGTCTGTATCAGCGCTGTTTAAGGATAGGCGCTATCTGTAGAGGTGTCTAGTAGAGGCGTCTGCAGAGGTGCTGTGGACAGAGCTTGTAGAGGCGTCTATATAGGCGCTGGGGCAATAGGCGTCGGCGTCTGTTGCATGGCTCGCAAGTACTGATGTACTGTAGGAGAAGGTGTCTGGGCTGTAGGCGGGGTGCCTGTTGGGCGCCATGCGTCTGCCCGGTGGACTGGAAAGGAGCCGTTCAGATAGACGCAGTAGTGGTCGTCAGGGAGCTCTGGGTAGAGACTGAGACCATGGGGCCTGACATCATGGTAGTAATGGAGGTCGGGGAGTATCGCCCGAGATAGCCGATCTGGTTGTGGGCAAATACTCGGATAAGTCAGACATCTGGCGCCGGTGTTTTCCTGGCCTGTTGCGTTCTCCGTTTCCTGGACATAAGGACCCTGGGGACATTTAGATGTACAATTAAGGCACAGGGGGTGGGTATCCCACGCCGACATATTATGCCGGCACTTTGAGCATGAGGGCATGATATCTGCAATGAAGCAGTGTAAAATCACAATGCATCCCCTCCCAATGATGTATGCTATAATTTGTTTATCCCACTGCGTGGGTTTATAAAACAATTATTACGACAAACGTAAGACAACATACAAAACGAAGACAAAATACTTGCAAGGGTACGCCAATGGTGGGGTACAAAGCAAGAAGAATATAAAATGCAAGCCAGTTAATAACTGGCCACGTAAAATATTCAAGATGGCTATTTGAAACAACAAAACACCTGGGTTTACCATAGTTTTCTTTCTGAAGAAAACGCCAGCAGGTGTACAAAAGTTATGCACATGTTAAAACATACAATGTTTCACAAGATACAAACCGTGTGCACACAACACAAGCAC